CCTTTGCACTTGCTATTTCCTCTTATGGGAGATCCTCTTCCCATCCCTACTCTCTTTGGCCTAGTTAACTCCTCCTTATTTATCCTCTATGTCTCTGCTGCCCTGACTCCTTTTTGGCAGAGCTTTCCTGATACTGTAGACCAAATTAAGCTCCCAATATTCCTCCAGCAGTGCCATGTTCCTCTCCTTCCTAGCATTTATCACAGCTTAATTTTCCATTTTTGTGGATGATCATTGGTTAATTCTTTCTCCCCCACCACACTGTAATCTCCATGAGGATAGGACCTATTTCTCATTTGCTCCACCTACATCCTCATTGCCCAGCACTCTTCTAGCACATAGCAGAGGTTCAAAAAAATCTTTGTAAAATACATGTGTGCATTTTGCTTTCCAGACTCTGCCTCCCAGAATGTCTTCCACCTGACTCAGCTGTGGCCTGTACCGAAAGTCAACCAATGATTATCCCTTGCTCTTACAACTCTTCCATTGACATCCAAGCTCATTTAGCTTTTTACTTCCTGTACACGTTTTCATGGCTCTCCCTCCGGAGGTGCCTGCTGGAACATCTAGGGATGGGGCTTGGAGGAGGTGAGTGTAATTGAAAAACTGTGTCCAGGGGATTCTGATTCACCACCTGCCTTGCCGAGACAGGGCGGGAGCAACCTGCTCTAAGTCCCGGGATAATTTCCTGGGGTTCTCGAAGACAGTCTTGCTAAATGTTCTTCCCGGGAATCCTGCTCTTCATCCTTTCATTCCTGCCCTCCCTCCCCAGCTGCCTCAGGCTCTCACAGACAGCATATTTACAGAGGAAATCACTGCCCTTTTTTTTGCATATTGATTCTTTTGAGAGAGCAGATCTTTAGAACTAGAGAAATGGCGCTGTGCTGTTCCCTCTCTGTAAAAGGGCCTAACGTTTTACTAGTGTGTGTTTATCACTTACCCCTTAAGCTAAAAGCGAGGCTGAGTGGTAATTGCCTGGGTCTCCAGGCGAGTCCATTTCCCCGCGGGTGGGCTTGCAGGCCCCGAGGAGCCCTGAGGCGTAATCTTTACTCAGCCACCTCGGGAACTGAGTTCACCGATGTTGGCTGTACGTCCAAGGACACACAGGTATCCGCCACAGTGGGTGTTTCCAACAAATTTCCCTCTCAAACTGGCACATTCTCTGAGAGCTTTCTAGACTTCACAGTGTGACTCACAGTTTGGGAACAATTTCCATCATCATCTGACTGGCAAGTACTCATTCTGTGGTAACTTGTGTCTTTAAAATAGCTTAACACACAACAGGGCACAGAGGTCCAACCTGCTTTCGATGTAATCACTTAAATACAGGCTCCCACAATGTTCCCATGATAGAGGATGATCCTTAAACACATTCAATTAACACCATGTTGTCACCTCTTTAGCTTTTTATGTACACTTAAGTTATCCATAGGTACAGATAGGTTATTTGAAATTTTTCTATTCTAGATTAATTTACCTATTCAAATCTGTGTTCCACACAGACTTCCATAATGTTGAATTATTATTATTATTTTTTTAAAGATTGGCACGTGAGCCAACATTTGTTGCCAATCTTCTTTTTTTCTTCTTCATCTTCTTCTTCTCCCCAAAGCCCCCCATTATATAGCTGTACATTCTAGTTGTGGGTCCTTCAGGTTGTGCTATATGGGACGCCGCCTCAGCATGGCCGAAGGAGCGGTACCATGTCCACGGCCAGAATCCGAACCAGGGAAACCCTGGGCCACCGAAGTGGAGTGCGCGAACCCAGCCACTCAGCCACAGGGCTGGCCCCTGAATTATTATTTTTTATCTTAAAATGTTCTGCCAAATCATACACATTCTCTCAGGCTAGGTGGCAGCTTTGTAACTGGTTTTCCTACTTTGGGACTGACTAACCTTCCCAGTTTTCCCAGGACTGGGAGGGTTCCCACGACGTGGGATTGCCGGTGCTGAAACCAGAAGAGTCCAGGACAATCAGTACAAATTGGTCCCCTCCCACCCTTTCTACCCTTGATAGGGGAGCGGGTAGAGCCACCCAAAGGTAATTATTGTTCCCTATATACCAGGTTATCGGTTCATAGGAATTCCCTGAAACCAATACCTTGCTAAGCTTCTCTCTCTCTTTTTTTAATAGAATAGCTTTACCAAGATAAAATTCCCATAAGATCCAATTCACCCGATTAAAGTGTGTGATTTAATAGTTCTTAGTATATTCACAGAATTGTACGATCCTTACCACAATTTTAGAACATTTCTACCTCCCAAAAGAAACCCTGTGCCCATTAGCTGTCACTCCCATTTCCCCTTAATCCTCTCGGCCCCTGGCGACCACTGGTCTGCTCTTGGTCTCTATAGATTTGTGTTTTTGGACATTTCATATAAATGGAGTCACACAACGTGTGGCCTTTTGTGTCTGGCTTCTTTCACTCAGCAGAATGTTTTCCAGGTCCTTCCATGTTGTGGCATGTATCAGTTGTTCATTCCTTTTTTATTACTGAACAATATTTCACTGTATGGACATACCACATTATATTTATCTATTTATAAGTTGATGGACATTTGGGTCATTTCCATATTTTGGCTATTATGAATAACGCTGCTATAAATACTCACGCACAAGTCTTTGTGTGGACATGTTTCAATTCTTGTGGGCTATATACCTACAAGTGGAATTCCTGGGTCATGTGGTAACTCTATGTTGAACCTTTTGAGGAACTTTCAGACTGTTTTCCAAAGCAGCTTGATCATTCTACAGTCTCACCAGCAGTGTGTGTAGGTTCCAGTTTCCCCACATCCTCAACAATACTTGTTGCTGTCTGTCTTTTTCAGTATAGCCACCTAGTAAGTGTAAAGTGGTGTCTCATGGTTTGATTTGCATTTCTCTATTGGCCAATGATGTTGAGCATCTTTTCATGTGCTTATTGCTAAGCTTCTTAAATGGAAAATTATAACAAAACTAACGGATGTTTGCAAATAACTGATTATACACACTAGGCTTAAGATTTTAACTAAATATTTAAATAAGATATCCACCATTAATTGCTACTATTTCAAATCATTCTACCGGGAGGTAAACCTCCAAGTTTTATTTAAACCACTGCCTTTCTTCATGACCAGAAACAGTCCCACTGGAAGCCTCTCTTTCGCTGGCTCTGATGTTGGACCGTCCTCTGCTGTCTCCATCAAGCCTTGCTGCCCAAGTGGCCGTCTTCTCCGGGAGCTAATGGGCTGTGGGTTTCCTGAATGTAAGCACCCCTGGTGCTTTGTTCATTAACTTCCTCGAAGGGCTGGATCCCCCGATCCTCACTCCTATTATGTGAGCTCTGTGACCTTCTGAGCACTTTACACACTCATTGTTTCTTCTCTTTCTCTTACCCCTCTGACTCTCTGCTACTTCTTTCTCTCTTGTCTGTTTCTCTAGTTTTTCTTGTGCACTCTATGCATTTATTTAATTTGGTTAATTTGTTAGTTTGCTCCTTCATTCCTCCACTAATTCCGAAAGGATCCGAGGCACTCTATGCCATCTCTTGCACTTGCTTTCTCTTCTCTTTTCATTAACTGATTTTCTCTCAAGAAACCCCATTGAGGTGGCCATTCACGTGGCGTAGTGGTTACATTCATGTGCTCCACTTCGATGGCCCAGGGTTCACTGGTTCAGATCCTGGGCATGGACGTACACACCGTTCATCAAGCCAGGCTGCGGCGGTGTCCCACATACAAAATGGAGGAATACTGGCACAGATGTTAGCTCAGGGCCAATCTTCCTCACCAAAAAAAGAAAAGAAAAGAAAAGAAACCCCATTGATTTGACAGAAAAGGATAAGATTCCTGGGAAGGCTACCAAGAATATGATCTCCATCAGAAAACACACTATCTATCTGTAATATTTTTTGAAGCCTGAGAGGGAAAACTGTAGTTTTCTTCTCTCTAGAGGAGCCTTGGCCACAGCTGTGGGATAGGGATCAACATTTTCTATAAACGTCTCCAGTTGACCCACTGCCCCTCAATGATCAGTTGCTGCTGCAAAGACCCCGTTTCGGCATTTTAAGCCCATTATTACCTGGTACATATGGGTCAAATAGCCAATACCTCGCAGTTTGGTAGAGGGGACAAGAGTAATAATAATAATAAATAATAAATGAACTAGACACTATTCTAAGTAGTGGAAGAAGAATAATTTCATGGGGGCAGTCCATTGTAGAGGGCGGCAGCTGGGTATTTGTATCATCATTTCCATGTTCTTATTTACTTTATAAAGATATTGTACCCAGCATAAGGGAATGTGGTCACGTTCAGATGCCAAAATGATCCCTTATTTCTTCTTTCTTTGCTGTTACCACAGGGATGGCTCTAAGGACCTAACATTTGGGACACACTGCCATTTTCAGCCCTGACCGATGATAAATAAATGAAAAGCAATAGTACATATTACAGTATAAGAAGAAGCTATTTATTTAAAACTAATTCAGCCTGACCTTGTTTTTCCAAAAGGGACTGATGAGCACACATTGTACATCTGCTTTAAATACTATGTCCCAAAGACAAAAATGATGCCCTTAAAGACAGGGATGTGGCTTCCCCATATATGGGCATTTCTTTAAGGATAAGCATCTCTTCCTGGGAACTAAGGATTAATTACCGACCTGCTGTGCTCACCTTGTGACCACCGATCTGTTGTGTTCCTCTATCTGTTGTGCCAGCTAAGCATCTTGTGACAACTGTAAAAGGAACATTCCGGGTGTATGTGATGTATGCTCATTGTTCCAAGATGGTATATAACCACTCTGTACACCCCGCTTTTTTGGTGCCCTTCCTTCCTTGGGGAAGGAAGGCCCCAGGCTAGTCTTCAGATCTGGCTCATAATAAACTCACCCGAATTTTGATTTATAGATTGATTATGGCTTAGTCGCATTGACACCAAAGAGATCTGGGGTCCCCATGAGTAAGGTAGCAAGCAGCGTTTGTTGGTTTGTGTGTTTCAGAGTCAAGGGGCCAGAGAAGGAGGAGAAGTTGAGGCAGGTGGTCAAGCAAGTCCTGAAGTGCGATGTGACTCAGAGCCAGCCGCTGGGCGCTGTCCCCCTGCCCCTGGCTGACTGCCTGCTGAGCACGCTGTGCCTGGATGCCGCCTGCCCTGACCTCCCTGCCTTCTGCACAGCCCTCAAGAACCTCAGCAGCCTGCTAAAGCCGGGGGCTTCCTGGTGATCATGGGCGCCCTGAAGAGCAGCTACTGCATGATTGGCGAGCAGAGGTTCTCCAGCCTCTGCCTGGGCCGGGAGGCGGTGGAGGCCGCCGTGAGAGAGGCTGGCTAGACCATCCAACAGTTGGAGGAGAGCTCTCAACGTCATTCTTCCACCATGGCTGACAACGAGGGGCTTTTCTCCCTGGTGGGACGGGAGCAGAGCAGATCTGTATGACACTTCATGATCGCAATTAAAGCAATTCCTTTGACTTGCCCAGCGGACTTCAGTCCTGGTTCTAACTGCCAAGGTCATTGTGCTCAGTAGAGGCTGACGGCTGGGGCCTGACGGTTTGTCTAGCATGGGGTTGGAGCTGTCAGTCAGCCTCAGAACAATGTCTTGACCACCTACTCTGTGCTCCTCACAAGCGCTGGTGCTACGAGGACATCAAAGGAGGAACTGGCATGTCCAGTCTGTACCGCCTGTGATAACCAAAGAGGACCTCATTTTCCTTAAACATCCAGTTGTGATGGCTCAAGACCACACATGCCTACAGAGAAGTGTCTGCAGTTATTTACTACTGTTTCTAGAGCACCTGTGGACTCCTTCTCTCCCAGGGACAGGCCTCTCTTGTTAAACTGTCTTCACTCTGCAGAGGCTACTGCACGACAGCCTCCACTGCTGCTGGGACTGCCCGGGGCACAGCCGTCCTCTGTTAGGGTCCACTGGGGCCACCATCGCCTCCAGGCTCAGGGAACAGCTGGCCCCTTTGCTCTTGGGTCCCAAGTATGGTCAGACCCTGCTCTTACTTCCCTCAACACATCTGAGCCAAGGCTGTGACTTCTACCTGAAGAAAGGTTTAGGAGTTAACAAGAGAGATGACAGGCACTATCTTACTGCTATTAGAAACTCTTAGGTACTATTTTAGCTGCTATTAGAAATGACTGTCTTCGGAGCCCACATCCTTAGAGGGTCCTGGAAGGTAGGCTGATCGCATAGCTCTTGGCCAAGCATCTCCTTGGAGTTAGCTTACCTCCTTGTGGCATGTCTATTCCCTCTGGTTTCTAGACCCCATCACCATGCGTATTGTCACCACGTGTATGACCCGCAAAGCCTAAAATACTTGCTATCTAGTTCTTTGCAGAAAATTTGCTGACCCCTACCCTAGAGAGAGAAGGAGCTCCCTCTTCACCCCGGTCTGAGGCCCATCTCTCCAGTCCTTATTTCTCATCCCAAGATGTCCCTCTTCCTAGGATTACTGACAGTGGGCATTTCTGCTTCCCACAGGAGAGAGCCCTTCCTCCGCACTCCCCCACGTGCATTAACAATCACATCAGAGCACAAGAGGCCAACATCGGTCCATTTTTGTTTACTTGGTGGTGTAGGACAACAGTGTCGTAACACAGTATCAGTCCGTTTTCAGGATGCTTTCAATTGTTGAGCCTCATAGGACATGCTCACAACATAGTATTCTAACCTGATCACAATTTCTAGAGATTCTATCCTGAAGGACACTAACAGGCCAGTCCAGGCTGGATGGAGAAAGCCAGGTCCACCTCTGTCCCTCTAGCGGGCAGAGATGCCCAAGCCTGCACATCCTTTCTGCAAGCAACGCTCCGGGAAGAGCACATGAAAATTCCCAGCAGCCAGCTCCACAGGCCACTCAGGCCACCAAGAAGCGACCACTTCCAGTGGAGACCAGGCTCTCTCAAACATGTGCCATCTCCCGCCCACCCCAGAATAAAGGCCACAACTGCTCTGGAAACATCTGCACTTGCTCACCTCCCACACAATGGCCCTGGCTTACATTTGCACAACCGCAAACAAAAATGCAAGCTTTCCTTTAAAACAGGATTCCCTGGTTTAAATTTGTTTTATAAAAACAAGCAATCTCTTTTTAAAACGAGTTTGAAAATGATAGGTTTTCTACTTTTACTTATGAACGTTTTGGGGAGAAAAGTCTGAGACCAGACTGGCCACAGCAGCCACGTAGCACAGTCCCTAACTCGTCGCCTGTGATTTTTACCTCGAGGATGACATTTGTGACATTGTAATGTTAGCGTGTATTTTTCTGTTTCCCCATTGAACTGTCAGACTCTTAGATTTATATTTGTTCCCTAACACTTCGGTCTAGGCTCTGGGGACAGAGCAGCAAACGGCAGAGGTAAGGGCCCTGTTCTGGGGAGTTCATGTTCTAGAAGAGGGAGTGGGGGGATAGGCAGATAAGGAAACTAATCAATAAATAAGATACTTTCTCATAGTGATAAGAGCTATGAAGGGAATATAACAGGATAATGGAAAGGAGGCTGTTTGAGTGACAATATCTAAAAGAGGTTTAAACAATAGGGATTTATTAATCTCACTAATCAGAAATTCAGAAGTAGGCACTGCTGGGAGGAAACATGGCTCAAGAGTGTCATTGAGCATCCAGTTTAATCCATCTTTCTCCTCCGCCTTTGCCGGCAAGTGGGATTTTCAGGGGAGGACGTCTTTTTCAGAAGACCCCAGCAGGCTTTTTACATCATATTGACCAGAACTGAGTGACGTGCCCACCTCCAGACCAATTACAGACAAAATGGAAAAGACACAGGGTACCCTCCTTAAGATTTGTTAAATGAATGAATAAATTCTTAGATGGCAAGAGAAAGAAAACTCACTGGATTCAATGAATGAACCTGCATCTCTGTTCGTTCCAGCAATCCAGTTTTTTTTTTTTTCCCAGCTACAAAGATCATCCCATTTTCAAATTCTGGCTATGCCACTTATTAGCTGTTCCTCCTTGGGCAAGTTACCTAACCTCTCTGTGCCTCAGTTTCCTCATCTGTAAAATGAGATTAAAATAGGACTTTCTGTCAAGAGAATAAAAATGAATTGCTACTTATAAAGGACCTAGAATATAATGCTTGGCACTTGATAGACACACAATACTTTATTTATTGTTAGCTATAATCATTATTATCATAATCTGCATCTCGTTTTTTCTTTCTTTCTTTCTTTTTTTTTTTTAGCTGAGGAAGATTCACCCTGAGCTAACATTTGTGCCAATCTCCCTCTATTTTGTATGTGGGTCGCTGCTACAGCCTGGCTGCCAATGAGTGGTGTAGGTCTGTGTCCAGGAACCAAACCCAGGTCACCAAAGTGGAGCATACTGAACTTAACCACTGGGCCACAGGGCCAACCCCCATAATCTTCATCTTTGATATTAGTTGCCAAGGCAGCTGAGAAAGATGTCTTGGTCTCTAAGTGAGAGAGAGAATTTCAGTCCTGGGCTATAGGCCTCCAGGTTCTTTATTGGCATGACCTTCCAGAGGGGCTGTGAAAATACTCAGTTTCTACACCACAGGCCACCAATTCCTTTCTCATTTGAGAAATATTCAGCAAGCATTTATTCAGCACCCTCTTTGTACCTTTCCTGCTCCAGGCACTGAGAATGCCAATGAAACCCATGGCCCAGGGTCAGCTGGCTCAAGAGGCCTCACCTTTGCAGTCATAGTAACAGCCAGGTGCTTCCAGGTTCTTCCGAAGGCAGTGCTGCAGCCTGCAGCAGCAGTTCCCACCCAGAATCTGCCGTGTCAGCCTCTCCTGCTCAGGCTGGGCTGCTGCCGGTCCACGTGCCCAGTCTGCCACTGCTGGGGAAGGGATGACGTGGCCTGTCATGAGAAAGACACTGCCCGTGCCCAGGGTTCTGCCTCGGATGCCTCAGAGCCACTCTGGCGTCTTCCCAGAGAGGTGGGAAACACTCTCCATCTCTCCCAGGGGTCAGCAAACTTTTCCTGCAAAGGGCCAAATGGTAAATATTGTCGGCTTGGCAGGTCACAGAGTCTCCATTTCAACTACTCAAGTCAGCAGCCGTATACAATATGCAAATTAATGGGCATGGCTGTGTTCCAGTAAAACTTTATTTGCAAAAACAGGTAGACAGGTGGATTTGGCCCAAAGGTTGTAGTTTACTGATTCCTAATCCAGACCCTGAAACAGCCTTGTTTGTGCCCAGAGTTTTATAAGGTTTCTCATGAACATTCTAGTTAGTTTCTAAAACTCAGTCCTACTCATAGGAGCTTAAATCCAGTTCAAGGGGCTAAAAGGGAACCAGGTGGAACGTGGTATCCTCCGTGCTCCATCCGTGCTCCATGGCTCTCTTCCCAGCTGCATCCCCCAATGAGAACTCCCGCCTCCTCTCCCAGCTTGAAGGCATTCAACAGACGCGGACAGAAAACGGAAGGGGGCAGGGCAGACGAAGTCAACTACACCAGTGTTTTTCAAACTGCAAGCTACCATTCATTAGGGTATCATAAACTCAATTTAGTGCATCACCATAAAAATTTGGAAAAATAATAGAGAATAAACTAGAAAACAAAATCCCAGATAGTAGCACTTCCTATAGTAGTATTTTGTGAAGCTTTTTTCAGTTTTATAAAATAATATATGTACATATATATGTAAAACCATAAATATTTGCTACTGGATCATGAAATAAAAGGTATTTATTACTGTAGGTTGTGATGAAGAAGTTTGAAAGCCATCGGATTGTACTCCGGCTTCTGGGACTCACCTCTGAGAGCCAACACTTGTATACAGAGACGAAAGGCACGGCCCCGTTCTTAAAAAACTTCTAGTCACTGGGGGGAACTGACAAGCAAACAGTTAAAATTCGGCGATGAGGGCTCTGAGATGAGTAAGCGCAGGGTGCTTTGGATGGGGGATGTCAAGAAAGCGGCATTTGCTCTGGGTCGTGCAGGCTGAATGGGGGCGCTTGGCTGGCAGGGAAGGAAAGGGCTCTCTCTGGAACATCGTGTACAGAGGCATGAAATGCCTCCTCCTGCCGTCACGCTCCTTGCAGGTTTGTTCTCTGAATGAAGCCAGGATGTAAGCAAACCTTTGGCTGCTGGCCTTTCGTTTGTTTTCCCTGAAACCAAACAGACCAACTGAGTCATTAGCAAACACTGCCTGGCGGTCACTCGGGTACTA